CCGCGCCATAAAAAAGGTTGGGGATACCGGGCCGCGGCATAAGAAAGGTTGGGGATCACTGCTGTAGGGAGAGCACCATGGCAGAGAATCCATTAAATGTAGGTCTCTGCAATATGCCTTCTCTGCCAGATCTAATGAGACTGATTGACATAATTGGGAAGAGGGGGTTGCTCATAATTCAGCATCCTGCAATGAAGGGGCAGTTAAAACTAGCACTTTGAGTTGGACCCAGAAAAGACTGGCAACAAATGCATTTATGAAGTAGAGGTGTGATATCTGCTCTTCTGGGAGCAAGCATAACAGTCTATTGCACTGCATGCTGTACCAGTGGAAGCTTCTGGATACTTTTCAAGGGCAGTCCCATGTAAAGCTCATTACAGTAATCAAACTACTGTATATTGTGTTGAACAGACCATTTACAGTTGAACTTTTCTACCTTAGGTTTCCTATACAAGAGCATCACAAGCAAGAATTAGCAGAATTTTATTACTCCCTACTATAAAAGAAACATTTATTAAATGAATGAAAATAATATCTATACACATTGGAGGTAGTAAAAGCTTTTCATATTTTGAATATATGATTATTTATAATTAAATTACATATCTTGCACGCCTCTATCTCTCAATATGAGATAATCCTGATATTAGCAAAATCAATCTCTTTGGTTCAAATTACAATGAAATAAATGCCAAATTACAGTTCTTTCCTGCTGTCCTGCAATCTGCTCCTTTTAAAAGCTGAAAGCTACACTTCTGGTAATTATGTTCTCTTTCAAGAGTATTGGAATATTTAATACAGCACTTTACTTTTAAGCTTATCTCAGGATAATCATTTCTCTTGGATAATTTATATGAAGATACTTGTTTTCAGCCACTGGCTTACTAATCTTTGTTCTTTAGTTTAACTCATTAATGTCAAGGTTTCTGTATCATCAAATAATAATACTGCATTAGTTAAAGTCAGGGGTGGGATTCTACCAGTTCGTACCTATTCACTAGAACCGGT